CAGCCCTACTTTAAAAATGATTCTTGCCCTCATAGCAACAAATGAAATGCTGAAAGCTTGAGTCAAGTGTAAGCCGTGCAGAGATGTCCGCCTGAGTTAAGGGACATTAGCTTGGACGGGTGTGGATTGCCCCACTCATCTCAATGGGATGTTAACTCTGAACCCTACAGATGGCAAGTAATAACCCAACAGTGCTAACTATTTGGGCAGAAGCATCCAGCCGATGTGTTGACTCCACACTGTGAATCAATCTTCCACCCATTCCCAGCTGCCAATTGCCCCTCACGCAGCGACCGAGACCTTCAGCTTCCCCCCGGAAGATGTCTGCAAAGCCGTTCTGTAATTTCGTTCCAGGATTCGATAGCACGTTGAAAACTGAGTGTGTGGGGACAGCATGAAGCAAAGTGGATTTAACATCCAAATACAGAGCGTGAAGCTGCGCTGCGTTACTCAGCTTCTTCCCTGAGTCCACAGAAAGCTCCGGTTCCAAATGTATTTGAAGCTGCTGCAGACTTTCCACCAGAGGCTGCAGAATGTAGGCCCAGCTTCTCCCAGAGCGCACCGAGCCCTGACTGTGATGCTGCCCAGAGCTGAAGTGGATTAGCCCACGGGGACGTTTCCAAAGCCCCTGGGATGCGTGGGGTGTGTTCTCTGGGGTCTCCCCACTGAGCATGCTGCTCACTCAGCCGCGTGTTCTGATGGGCGCGCGTCTCTTGTTGTTGCAGGTCCCAGCGAGGCGTGAGGACAGGACCACCCTTCCCTTCTGGAGCAGTGGCAGAGCGGCACAGGGAGCAGAATGAGGGAGAACTATGATGCCATGATTGCTCTGGGTAAAAACAGCCCCCCCCCCCCCCTGCGGTGTGTGCCCCGCATTGCACAGGGAGTGCTCCGGGGAGGGGCACCTCCCCCTATATTCCCTGGGGGGCTGGTGAATGGCGCACCGGCGGGGTCGGGGGCTCTCAACTGGCTGCAAACAGGCAAGCCCTCTGGTGCGTGGAGTTGTTGCTCCCAGAAGCCATTGCGACCCCAGCCCAGTGGCACTGTGCAGGAGTGTTCTCTCCGCAGGGAGTAAGGCCCTATCCGGACTCCTCTCCTAAACGTACCCTCCGTCAGCTTTGGGGCGCCTGGGTTTGCTGTGCCTGAGAGCCGGCGGGTGGCCCGGCCTGCCCTGCACATGGCCAGCAGCCTCTGTTGTGTCTCATGCAGGGTCCCCCGTCGCCAAACCCGAGATTGTCCCACGGGTCGAGCAAGCCGAAGAGCCTCGTGCCAAGGCTCCTGGGGAGGCAGAGCAGAGGGAGGCCCCTGGCAGCGCCAGCCCAGGTCAGTGAGGGGCATGGGGAGGGCTCTTTGCCAAGCGAGATGCTCCAGTTCCTGGAAGCAGAGTAAGGATGTGGACTGACCAGTGCTTGAGCCGTGTCAGCGGCAGGAGGATCCGGGCACGGTTGTTGCTCTGCCAGCCTGGAGGTCCTGGTGAACCCCAGCTGCAGCGACTTGTCATCGCTGGTGCTTGGCCCGAGGTTGGCGTCCTTTCCTGTGGGAAGCAGGAGCCCGTCTCGCGCCTGGCAGGTGTCTGCGGGGGGCTGCGCTGGAGACTGGAGCTGGGAGCTCGTGGCACTGGCCCTGGCTGCAGGCAGTTTAGGCTATTGCCGTGGCCCAACAAAACGCTTACTGGCTCGGGTCGCGGTGGCTTACGGGGCTGCCTCTCTCCGAGTGCTGCTGCCGGCTACGGGTCGCCCCGTGCTGTGTGCAGGAGGGAGCCTCTGCTGGCATTCGCAGGGGGGGCGGTGGGACTCCCCTCTCCTCTTGGGCCGCCGGAGCCAGGATTTGCTGCCCTGCAGGCGCCCTGACACCACGGGTGAGGGGCGACTTTCTAAAACCCGAGGGAGCTGGAGGGAGGTGCAGCCAGCCACTCCTGGGCTGTGTGTGACACTTCCTGAAGCGTGGGGGAATGTGGGCTTGATTCTCTCTCCCCCTCCGACAGGATCCGTAGTTCCCAAGCCCGAGATCGTCCCGCAAGGTGAGCGAGAGCAGCAGCAGCAGCATGGTGGCGGGGAGCAGATGGGGCTGGAAGGACAAAAAGGCCCTGAGAGCAGCTGCTCAGGTGAGATCCCCCCTCCCCCTGTATCTGCCAAGCAAACTCCCTGGCACCATCCGCTGCCAATGTGCCCCAGCCCTGCGGTGAGAGGCGCTCAGTCTCTTGTGGGGGAGATAGCTCAGTGATTTGAGCATTGGCCTGCTAAACCCAGGGTTATGAGTTCAAGCTTGAGGGGGCCACTTAGGGATCTGGGGCAAAATTGGTCCTGCTAGTGAAGGCAGGGGGCTGGACTCGATGACCCTTCGGGGTCCCTTCCAGTTCTATGAGATAGGTCTCCACAGCCCAGTCAGCCCTTGGCCAGCGAGGGGACCACTCAGGGCCCGCTCACATCCCTGGCCCCGGTTCCCAGGACTCGCTGGGCCGCGGGAGCAGCTCCGGTAGCTCAGCAGGGGGAGGTACTGGAATTGCTGGGCGTGGTTCTGTCCCTGAAGAAGCCAGGGACGTGGCTGGCTGATGGCTGGGGGTCGGTGGGTTACCCGACGTGCTGGGCTGTCTGATTCTCCATCTCTCTCTCCCCTCCACCCCGGGCAGATGACTGGCTCATCCGGACGGTGAAGGTGGAGGAGGACTATGAGGAGTGGCCTGCGAGTCTCAGTGCGGAGGCGCTGCTGTCGGGGCAGCTGCAGGGCAGCGGCTTGCTGCACCCCGACGGGGGCCACGGCTACCTGGGCGCGTGCAAGCTGGAGAGGCCGAGCCTGGAGGACTACGGCAGCTACGGCGACCTCCCGGGCTTGGCCCTGCAGCAGTGGCAGCTCCTGACCGAGAAGCCGTACGGCTGCACCGAGTGCGAGCGGCGGTTCAAGGACAAGCTGACACTGCGGCTCCACCAGCGGGTGCACACCGGGGAGAGCCCCTACGCCTGCGGGGAGTGCGGCCGCAGCTTCAGCCAGAAGCCCAACCTGGTGGCCCACCAGCGCACCCACTCCGGGGAGCGGCCCTTCACCTGCGCCCAGTGCGGCAAGGGCTTCAGCAAGAAGGCCCACCTGACGCGGCACCAGCGCATCCACACGGGCGAGCGCCCCTACCAGTGTGCCCAGTGCGGCCGCTGCTTCAGCCAGAAGATCCACCTGGGATCGCACCAGAAGACGCACACCGGGGAGCGGCCCTTTCCCTGCGCCGAGTGCGGCCGGAGCTTCCGCAAGAAGACGCACCTGATCCGGCACCAGCGCATCCACACCGGGGAGCGTCCCTACCAGTGCGCCCAGTGCGCCCGCAGCTTCACCCACAAGCAGCATCTGGTGCGGCACCAGCGCGTGCACACGGAGCCGGAGCCGGAGCCGGGGGCACTGGCCCAGCTGGAGACAAGTGCCCCCTGCAGGCTGCCAGGAGTGGCAGCGCCACCCCCAGGGTCCTCGCCGGAGCAGAAACCCTTCACCTGCCCCGAGTGCGGCAAAAGCTTCAGCTGGAAGAAGAACCTGACGTCGCACCAGCGGCTGCACCTGGAGGGGCGGCCCTTCTCCTGTGCCGAGTGCGGACGCGGCTTCAGCGACAAGCGCCACCTGACTGCCCACCTGCGCAGCCACATGGGCCTCAAGCCCTACGCCTGCGCCTACTGCGAGAAGAGCTTCAGCCACAAGCCCAACCTGACCACACACCAGCGCACGCACACCGGGGAGCGCCCCTTCGCCTGCCCCGACTGCGGCCGCAGCTTCACCCACAACCAGCACCTGGTGCGGCACCGCCGCGTCCACACCGGCGAGCGCCCCTTCGCCTGCCCCCAGTGCGACCGCAGCTTCAGCTCCCGGCCCAACCTCATCGCCCACACCAAGGCCCACTCGGGCAAGCGGCCCTACATCTGCGAGCAGTGTGGCCGGGGCTTCAGCCGCAAGTCCCACCTGGTGAGGCACCAGGCCGTGCACACCGGCACCCGCCCCCACGGCTGCAGCCTGTGCGGCAAGCGCTTCAGCTCCAAGACCAACCTGGTCCGGCACCAGGCCGTGCACACGGGGCACCGGCCCTACATCTGCACCCAGTGTGGCAAGAGCTTCAGCAGGAAGACGCATCTCCTGAGGCATGAGCGTACCCACGCTGCCCCCCTGCAGAGGGACAGCGCCTGGGCTGTGCACGACCCCCTGAGCCAGCAGGCAGCCTGCCTCTAGCGGTGGGGGACTAGTGACTCGCACGGCTCACCACTCTGAGGGACCAGTTACTCTGCTGTGAGCTGGACAAAGTGCGGGCAGGTGCTGTGCCTTCAGTGCCAACCTGTAACCCCCCTCCCCGCCGTGCTATCCCAGCCCTGGGCTCCCCCACATACACTGCTCTGCAACTCCCCTCCCCACCAACCCCCCGTATTCCAGTCCTTCCATGTCACCCTGGTTCTGCTCATGCATTTCAGACTCAACCTGCAGCCCCCTGCTAATCCAGCCGGGGCTCCCTCCCCCACCAGCTCTGCTGGTGCCCCTCATTCCTGACAGCCAGCCATCGCAGTCCTTCTCTAGATCCTCACTTCAGCCTGGCCCTGCCATGCCCGCTCGGGGCTCCCCACCCACACGGCTCTGTCACTCGCCCTCAATCCCAGCTCTCCGGTGTACGGACGGGACGGGAGAGAGAGAGCTGGGAAGCCACAGGAGAGAAGCTGCCTGAGTGTCCTGCAGCGAGACCCGCTTCTGATCCAGACGTGCCTTGAGAGCCCAGCGCGGGGTTCAGACAGCCCAGCCCGCATGGGCATGGGCAGGGACACCACTGGGCGCAGCTGCCCTCAGCCTCAGCCTCTCCATCATCCACCTGCTGCGAGACAAGCCCTTCACACCGCCTGGGGAGCTGACCAGGCAGGAGACGGGCTTAGGACTCCTCGTTGAAGCATTCCTAAGCTAGAAAGGGGGATAATACCATTCCCCTGAGCCAAATGGTGCCATAAACAGTGTCCTCGAACGGTGCTGGAGATGGGTTGGAAGCTGGCTTCTCAGCCGGCTCACTTCCCCAGTCGCTGGCCAGGGCACCCAGCACTGGTCCAGCAAGAACTGTGGGCAAGTGAGAAGGGAGGGGTCTCTGTTCTCTACCTGAGGGGGGGCACAACAGGGGACCCCCAAGCGAAGGGGCATTTGAATGTTAACATCCCTCTGTAATTAAAGATGAAACTCAAGCCCTTTGCCTGGCTAGTGCTGCGAGCCGGGCGTTTCCTTCTTCACACCCATCTCGGGGGGCTTCTGGGGAGCCCTCCAGGGTGGGAAGCAGAGGCTGGGCACTGAGAACAATCGGTGAGACCTGCTTGGGTCCACGGCGAGACGGTCACAGAGTGAGGAAGCTGGGACGGAGAGGAGCCTGCTCACAAGTTCCCACTGTACCCGCCAATAGCTTTGGAACAAAAAAAAGAGTTCCTGTCCCGTTTGGGTGAAATCACACCAATTACAGCCATGCTGGGAGGCCTGCCAGCTTCTCCCCCCAAAGCACAATTGCCAAGGAGTTAAGTTTGTCCCCGCCTGCCCTTGTCCCCATTCTACTTCCATTCATTCTGCACCACTCTGTCCCCGCATCAGCTGATTCTGCGCCTCTCCTGCCCCCTCAACTCTGCAGAAGTCGTCGGCTCCGGCTCTGCACCCCTGGAGGCCCTCCCCTCCGTCTAGGAGGGGCAGCTCAGCAGGGACCTGTTCCTCCCTCCCTCCCTCCCCAGCTTGAAATGACTGGGTGCAGAGGGAGGGCGGAGCAGAGCCTCCCTGAGCTGTGCAGGCTGCTCCCTCTTCCCCATCCCTGACCCAGGATCTCCTAGGCAGGGCAGAGATAGGCCTGCTGTGGGCAGCAGGTTGGCCCCCCCCCAGCTCCCTGAATCTGTGGTACTGCCATCCCTGTCCTGGCTCCCAGACAACGCAGAGACCGAGTGGGGCTGGGCAGCAGTCGCAGGCGTGGAAATGGCACATGAGCTCACTGAGGCAGGGACTGTCCAGTGGGGCCCTGATCCCTGTCTGGGGCACGCAGCAGAAATCGCTCATCATGCTCATGGATTTGGTTTGTCACCCCTAGCTCCTGGCTGAGGGGGGCTTGGTGCCAGGCCTGGTGGGCAGCAGGGGAGCTTGTCTGTGTTGCCAGGGTGCACTCACTGCTGGTGGCGCCTCCTCCTGGCCATCGTGGGGATTAGCTGTGCCAGGCACTGCACCCTCCACTGGCGGTGTCTTCACCCTTCCTGTTTCACCTTGCAGCCCCTCTCACTCCAGGAACTGCAGCCACCTATTCTGGACTCGGCCCTCTGGCCAGGTCACTACGTGGTTCCCCTTCTGGGGGTTACCCAAAGTCCTGCCACACAACCAGTCCCAGGCCGTCCTCTCGGGCACTGTCCTGATGGTGCCACTTCCCTAGCAACCGGTAGGGAAACCAGAGCCACTCACTACTCCAGCTTCCAGGCCAGGGACCCTGTACCTAGTAACTGGTCTGCTGTCCCTCAGCCCTTGTTGCTCCTTCCTACAGCTTCTGGTCCCCCTCTTCTCTGGGTGAACCAACTCTCACCTCAGAGGGAGTAACTGTAGGTGGCTCCTCCTGGGAGTGAATGCAGCCTGCAGCCCCCTTCTGCTGCCAGCTTCCTGGCTTTATAAATGCAGCCCAGCTCCTCCCTCAGCTGGGCTTCATCAGTAAGTTAGGCCTTAGCACCCCCTGGCTCTCCTCCAGGTGTGGTCTACAGGTTAATTGGCCTAATTTACCCCTTCAGCCCTTGTGTGGGGTGGACACAGGGCTGGTGCCCTCCATCCACAGGCTGAGGGGGAAGGCGGCTGAGCTCCATACTCAGGAGAGGGGTGGGGCAGGCCGCACAATCCGAGTCCTGGAGATAGGGGAGGGGAACTATCTGGCTGCATTTCTGACAGGGCCCAGCCTGGGCTGTGAGGGGGGAGCTGCTCTGCCCACAGAGCTGGCCAAGCCCCCCAGCGAGACACTTGAGGGGGAAGCTGGGGACACAGACCCTGCGGCTTGCTCAGCCTGGTCACTCCCTGAAGCCTGCAGGGGCAGCAGTCACTGCAAATGCCTCAGCGGGGAGTGCAGAGCTGATGACATTTGAGGGGACAGTGCTAGTGGCATGAGGTGAGCAAAGGCAGCCCTGGGGGCACAGCTGGGAACCAGACAGCGAAGCCAAACAGCAAAAATTAAGATGTTTGTACACTAATGCGAGGAGCCTAGGTAACAAAATGGAGGAACTAGAGCTACTGGTGCAGGAAGTGAAACCAGATATTATAGGGATAACAGAAACATGGTGGAATAGTAGTCATGACTGGAGTACAGGTATTGAAGGGTAGGTGGTGTTTAGAAATAAAGACAAAGGCAGTGGAGTAGCATTGTATATCAATGATGAGGTAGACTGTAAAGAAATAAGAAGGGATGGAATGGATAAGACAAGAGTCTGTCTGGGCAAAAATCACATTGGGGAAAAAAGCTACTAGAGCCTCCCCTGGGATAGTGCTTGGGGTGTGCTACAGACCACTGGGATCTGATTTGGACATGGATGGAGACCTCTTTAATCTTTTTAATGAAGTAAACACTAATGGGAATTGTGTGATCATGGGAGACTTTAACTTCCCAGATATAGACTGGAGGACAAGTGCTAGTAATAATAATAGGGCTCAGATTTTCCTGGATGCGATAGCTGATGGATTCCTTCACCAAGTAGTTGCTGAACCAACAAGAGGGGATGCCATTTTAGATTTGGTTTTGGTGAGTAGTGAGGACCTCATAGAAGAAATGGTTGTAGGGGACAACCTTGGTTTGAGTGATCATGAGCTAATTCAGTTCAAACTAGATGGAAGGATAAACAAAAATAGATCTTGGACTAGGGTTTTTTATTTCAAAAGGGCTAACTTTAAAGAATTAAGGAAATTAATTAGGGAAGTGGATTGGACTGAAGAATTTGTGGATCTAAAGGTGGAGGAGGCCTGGAATTACTTCAAGTCAAAGTTGCAGAAACTATGGGAAGGCTGCATCCCAAGAAAGGGGGAAAAAATCATAGGCAGGAGTTGTAGACCAAGCTGGATGAGCAAGCAACTCAGAAAGGTGATTAAGAAAAAGCAGAAAGCCTACAAGGAATGGAAGATGGGAGGGATCAGCAAGGAAAGCTACCTTATTGAGGTCAGAACATGCAGGGATAAAGTGAGAAAGGCCAAAAGCCATGTAGAGTTGGACCTTGCAAAGGGAATTAAGACCAATAGTAAAAGGTTCTATAGCCATCTAAATAAGAAGAAAACAAAGAAGTGGGACCGCTGAACACTGAGGATGGAGTGGAGGTTAAGGATAATCTAGGCATGGCCCAATATCTAAACAAATACTTTGCCTCAGTCTTTAATGAGGCTAATGAGGAGCTTAGGGATAATGGCAGGATGACAAAAGGCAATGAGGATATGGAGGTAGCTATTACCACATCCGAGGTAGAAGCCAAACTCGAACAGCTTAATGGGACTAAATCGGGTGGCCCAGATAATCTTCATCCAAGAATATTAAAGGAACTGGCACATGAAATTGCAAGCCCATTAGCAAGAATTTTTAATGAATCTGTAAACTCGGGTTGTACCGTATGACTGGAGAATTGCTAACATAGTTCCTATTTTTAAGAAAGGAAAAAAAGTGATCTGGGTAACTACAGGCCTGTTAGTTTGACATCTGTAGTATGCAAGGTCTTGGAAAAAATTTTGAAGGAGAAAGTAATTAAAGGACATTGAGGTTAATGGTAATTGGGACAAAATACAACATGGTTTTACAAAAGGTAGATCGTGCCAAACCAACCTGATCTCCTTCTTTGAGAAGGTAACAGATTTTTTAGACGAAGGAAATGCAGTGGATCTAATTTATCTTGATTTCAGTAAGGCATTTGATACAGTTCCACATGGGGAATGATTAGCTAAATTGGAAAAGATGGGGATCAATATGAAAATTTAAAGATGGATAAGGAACTGGTTAAAGGAGAGACTACAACGGGTCATACTGAAAGGTGAACTGTCAGGCTGGAGGGAGGTTACTAGTAGAGTTCCTCAGGGATCGGTTTTGGGACCAATCTTATTTGATCTTTTTATTACTGACCTTGGCACAAAAAGTGGGAATGTGCTAATAAAGTTTGCAGATGACACAAAGCTGGGAGGTATTGCCAATACAGAGAAGGACCGGGATATCATACAGAAAGATCTGGATCACCTTGTAAACTGGAGTAAAAGTAATAGGATGAAATTTAATAGTGAAAAGTGCAAGGTCATGCATTTAGGGATTAATAACAAGAACTATTGTTATAAGCTGGGGACACATCAGTTGGAAGTAACAGAGGAGGAGAAGGACCTCGGAGTATTGGTTGATCACAGGATGATTATGAGTTGCCAATGTGATATGGCCTTGAAAAAAGCTAATGCGGTCTTGGGATGCATCAGGTGAGGTATTTCCAGTAGAGGTAAGGAGGTGTTAGTACCGTTATACAAGGCACTGGTGAGACCTCATCTGGAATACTGTGTGCAGTTCTGGTCTCCCATGTTTAAGAAGGATGAATTCAAACTGGAACAGGTACAGAGAAGGGCTCCTAGGATGATCCGAGGAATGGAAAACCTGTCTTATGAAAGGAGACTCAAAGAGCTCGGCTGGTTTAGCCTAACCAAAAGAAGGCTGAGGGAAGATATGATTGCTCTTTATAAATATATCAGAGGGATAAATACCAGGGAGGGAGAGGAATTATTTAAGCTCAGTACCAATGTGAACACAAGAACAAATGGATATAAACTGGCCATCAGGAAGTTTAGACTTGAAATTAGACGAAGGTTTCTGAAAACCATCAGAGGAGTGAAGTTCTGGAACAGTCTGCCAAGGGGAGTAGTGGAGGCAAAAGACATATCTGGCTTCAAGACTAAGCTTGATACATTTATGGAGGGGATGGTATGATGGGATAGCCTAATTTTGGCAATTAATTGATCTTTGACTATTAGCAGTAAATATGCCCAATGGCTAGTGATGGGATGTTAGATGGTTTTATTCCGACTAGAGCCAACTTTTATCAAGACTTTAGAAACTTAGATCTAGTTGGGCAAATCTTTTCTCCCTGTGAGCTGCAGGCTGCTCAGAGCAGGTTCATTTCCCTCTGAGCCTCAGGAGGGGCTGGCATTGTGATGGGGGTACAATGC